TACAAAAGTGCAAGTAAAATCCAAGAGACATATGATGTCTCGGTTGAAACATTGCGACGATGGGCCACCTCCGGAAAAGTTGCCATTGTCTATCCATGAACTTATTTTGCTCGTGAGAAAGACTATTAAGATACGTGTGCAGCAAATGTGACCAATTAACGATTTGTGACCGCGATCCGTCTGTGTTTGATTGCATGTTTCAGGCTTCATATAAGATTGCGTGTTTCATGCGCGTAGGCTCCATATAAGATTGCATGTTTTATGCGTGTTTTCGGTTCCGCAATTCAAATACCGACAACCACAAACAAATTTAAAGACATTACCCCCCAAACTCTTTAACCATTGCAATATTTTGCTCATTTGAAAATCAAAATCGTAATCTCTCCCTCAATGCTAAAAACACCGCTGCCACCGCCAAAACCACTACCAAAAAAGGTTCAAACAAAAGGTAGGTCCTCAGCTCCCCAACCTACGAATAACTCGTCAGTGTCCCAGCCTACGAGCAACAAAAGGCCAAGGTTTGATAAGTTTTGGTGTGTCTTTAGGATTGAGTTTCTGCATATCTAGCTCAAGACTTAAAGAACCGATTTTCATAAAAATTTGCTGCAATAGAGCAATGGATCATCATAATAATTGTGACGCAAAATTTAAATTTGTTTACCAAAAACATCGTAAACCATTTTTCCAAAAAATACCAGTTTCAGTAGCTTTAGTAACAAAAACAAGTAAAACAAGTGCAAGTGTAAGCTCTGTAGCCACTGAGTAAGTAAGTTTGTACAATTGTTACTCTTTATTTTCGCTATATATTCTTAGGGATAGTACTGATGCGGTTCCAAAAAGAATGTCAGACTGCAACTGTTATTGAAACTTGTGGTGGGAAAAGGGAGAATTTAATGAAAAAGCGGGATGGGATGAAGTAACGTAAGTTTTACTGTTTTTGATGTTGGTATTTTTTGAGCCAGTTGCTGATATACTGTAAATTGTTTAGATTAAGCCTACCATATGTACTTGCTACGGGCATCATCCTAGAAGATTATGAAGAACGTGTAGAAAATTTTAACATTTATGGATGTTGGGAATGGTCGGAGGGAAAAGTCATAATATATGAACTTCCTTCTGCGCCACATGAAATTTGTATCGGTAGAATTTCTTGTGAAATAATAAATGCCTGTAGAAATGTTTTGGGGACTCCTGCTGAGATTTGTAGTTTAGGTGCTACTACTACTAGTAAGTATTAATGTTATAACTGTTTGTGCGTGCATCATATTAATTTTTATTTCCCAAAGAAACACGTGACGGAAACCGTAGAAAAGAAGCCGATGAATCGTTTCGCCCTCAGAAACCAGCTGTAACTCCACCAAATGGGAGCGATGGAAATGTACTTTCTGTACTTTTTATTGGTTTTGAATTTTTTAAAGCTAGTAATTCAATATTTAGTTGTAGAGGTGGCTTATACCGAATCAATAGATCACGTCGAAGAAACGTTGCGCTACTGGTTAAGTCCTGGTCGCGTCCACGATTGTATTATCGTAAAAATTGATCCGGTTCCCAAGGTCAAGTTCCGGTCCGTATGAGGGTAAGTTATATTTATCAGCATAGCAATAATATTATTTATAACATTCTAAGATTTTAATTTATTGTAGGCTTGGCATTGCTGTGTCTCAGCAGGTAGAAGAACGAGAAATACAGTTCCTCTTGTAACTGCGGTAATGTTAGACTATAGTGATTCGCTTTTCTATTAATATTTTAAAAATCTCTAATGTATATAATGATTATTAGTTTGAATTTGGAACCCAAGATGGCAATGGAGCACCATTGAATATCTTGCAAGGTCAATGCATTATAAACATCCCACTCGATTGTCTTTATCATAATGTGAAGCCTCCTATTCAAAATTCTACCTGATCCTATTCCAATTACTCACCAAAATGTATGACATTTAGGGAATATACACAATATCGGCTCAGTTTTAACAAGTTTTATCTTTGGGTTTATCTTTTAACATGTACACAGTGTATGCTGTATGCGGGTGTTTATATCAATAAAAAAATATCTGTGTTTGGTTCTTATTCCTGGACAATTACATAAAGAATAGGTCCATTCGTAGTAATAGAGGCAAGAGTCACTTAACGTTGTTTTTTTTTTACTGAATATTTGGTGTATAATAATGGAATAATCAAATACGAAAATATACTCTTTGGCTTTGTCGTGCCAGAGAGCAGTCAATTGTCAGTCCTAGGAATTTAGCTACTTTTGAGCGGAGAGTGGCGTCTCCTACTTATAGTTAAATAAAAATACACAGTTAGTGACCTTTAAACTAGGCTTTTCTATTCACGACTCTCAAGTGTCAATGCATAAACACTAATCCTCGATAATAATCTGTCCTCGAGTATGCTACCGCTGGGATTAATTTTGATAGCCTGATCGGTTGGGGTACAAATGTGTTTACGACTATAACAGACGCGTTTAAATAAGAAGCAATTAGTATTAATTATCGTATTTGCCACGGGAATAATCGCGGGGGACAAGAAGCGATTATGTACTTCAGAGTATAAAGAAATATTCGCTTATTAGAATATTTACAATAATAAAGGAATCGAAAAGATTAAAACGCTTCTAGTGCCAACTTTAAAGAAATTCTGGGAACTCCGCTTGACGGTTCTTTTTCTTATGTACTTCAGATTCGTCTATTGAGATCCACTTCTCTCTGTTTGACAGAATTTCAGAAATACTGCTCTGACTTACGCAATATTCGTTAGCCAAATCTATTTGAGATGGCCGTGGCTTTTGGCATATCTTTTACATATCTCATGCTTCTGAGCAAAGGACGGCTTACGTTTTCGCTTGTTCATTCTTGAAAATTTTATTATAGATGGATGTACGTATTAATATAAAGTCATTGTTTGACCAATGAAATTGCAAGAATCGGGTCACATTCTACTCCGGTAAAATTTTATTACAAGTGCGTCTCGATATAACGACACTGCTATATAACGACATCTCGTTATACTGACAAAAATCCTGGAACAAAAAATCTATATAATGAAATTTATTCGATGTAACGACATTATATACAAATTTTCGTTATAACGGTATAACGACATTTTTTAGGAAAGGCTTATTGGACAAATCTTAATAAAGTATCGGGATATACCGACATTTGATATAACGACAGTCGTTATACGCAATTTGAGTGACACACATCTCCTTTTTTGTTTATTAAGCTCCCATTTTAAGTTTTCATTAATATTAATACAATGCTTATCTCGTTCGTTTGCTTAAGCAATAAGAATTAATTCTTAATAACATTAACAAAGCAGAAAAGGTAAGCAGAAAATCTATCAAATTTGTCCAATAAAATTGATTTTTTTTTGTATAACGACAATTGGTTGAACTTGCTTTGTTGTCGTTATAGGACATTTTTGATATAACGACCATTTAGGTTGGAACCGAGCGTGTCGTTATATCGAGACGCACTTGTATAGAGTTATTGTTTAACCAATGAAATTGCAAGAATCTGGTCACGTTCTACTCCGATAATTTGTATTACTTTATAATATCAAAATATCGGTTTATCGGGTTTGCGAGGTCTATATGTAATATCGGTTTTACGAGGATTTTATTATATACACGTAAATTGCACGGGAATTGAAAAAAGTATCGGTTTTGCGAGTTATCGGTTTTGAGCAGTATCGGTTTTTCGAGGTTTGACTGCAGAAAAGGCGAAAACAGTGTTTCAAGCTTTGACTGCATTTCGCATGGGGTTGTGGGATTGTGTGAAGCGAATATTTTTTGGATCAAGTTTTATTGTAATGAAATCATTGCGCAGTAACATTTAGTATAGATCACGGGAATAAGGAATAAAACTTTCTCGTATATTACTATTAAAAAAGGGCGTCCGGATGATCTTTACACATGGATAGCATTGATATTTGTTATTAAATTAAAGACTGTTGATCAGATTTTCGTGATGCCCCCTAAAAAAGTAATGTCCCGGTTAGTGAACCTTTATCCGGCTCATGCAAGTAAAATAAAATTGAACTAATCAAATCAATATAACTTACCATTGTTCGCATCATAGATATTTAAAATCAAACGAACACTCGTATATTCCGCAAAGTAATAATGAGGTAGGGTTGGTTTTATTATTCGGCTAGCTTCTTGAAACATGTCATCACGATGTTAATCGCCTATATAGATGTTCCAAAATAAAACGGACATATTACTCTTCTATCTTCTTGTTATGTATCGGCATTTTGATCTTTGCCAAAAAAAAAAAAACAAACAAACCTTTGACAGTCATCACGCGTACAATAGACGTAGAATCACGATGCCGGACGAAACTTTTTTAATATGAGGCGGAGTGGAAGTTGTAAAATTAGTTGTAGTGGTAAGTGTAAATCAGTAATTATTATTATTATTATTTTTACCTCGGTTGCTAATTCCGAACTTATTCTGCGGATTCGAAATCTTGGGGAATATCTTGGAGGTCTATTGTGGAGCTTAGCTGAAATCAAACTTTCTATATTATCCGTGTGGGTGGAAGTGATTTATATTGGCGAAAATTAGTAGATACTTCGTGTTTGTATGAGAATCTCGTAGTTAGCTATAGTGATAAATTGGCTTCAAAAATTTGATTTTATGATAGCATCATTTATTTCCATCGCTATATATACACTTTCCACACTATATCTAAAAAATTAATAAACATGTTATTAGAAAAAATTTCTTGCAAAAAGTATTGGGGAAATGAACAGGTATAAACGGAAAAGCCAAAGAGTCACCGCCAAAGTGGCAGTCGTGAAGCTCTTTGGAGGATAGTAAACTCAGTTTGCCCACCGCCAAAGTGGCAGTCGTGAACACACCGGCCTTTTCAATTATGACAAACAAGATCGCCGCCAAAGTGGCAGTCGCAACCCGGCTTGAGCAAAGTCTACATCTCAGAGACTCGCCGCCAAAGTGGCAGTCGCGAAGTACACTGTCATTTTCCACCTTTCAGGTACCCGCCGCCAAAGTGGCAGTCGCAAAGTACACTGTCATTTTCACCCTTGGGTACTTCGCCGCCAAAGTGGCAGTCGCGAAGTACTTCTGTCATCAGGCACCCGCCGCCAAAGTGGCAGTCACGAAGTACTCTGTCATTTTCACCTTTGGGTACCCGCCCAATGCAGTCAGGCATATTACCAAATTTGGTGTGGTCATGGAAATCAATTTCGAATATTCCATGAAATTTGATTGGCTCTATTACACAAAAACACTCTCTTCTATATACTATAGCAACACCAAACAAATTATTATTGTCGTTATGCACTCACCTATCGAGCTCGTCGCAAAAGTTTATATAAGAGATAAACTGAGTTTACAAAAGTCATCAGGGAATACTCGCCCTATTCCTGTCAGTACTAATGAAGAGCGTCATCAATCAACTGAATAGTCTTTGTCAATATCTGTAATTCAAGTTTTGATTAAATCTTTAAATGTGGGCACTAGGCCACAGCTTCAAAATTTACACAAGGAGGAGCTGTTGTTAATTTTGCAACAAGTTCAGGATTTTTACAAGGAAAATGACAGTAACGAAATAAAAGAGATATTGTAAGTTAACAATCTCACAGTCTGAATATGAATAGTGTAATTGGTGTGGTGATCCCATATTAATATTACGGACGGTCAAATCACCTCAATATTTGAAAACTTGTTACACGACACAGAAAGTACCTACGAAGCTGATTATACTTAGCTTAGAAACCGATACATGTTTTGTTCTATGGTTAACGATTATACGTTATACGAATAATCGATTCGCTTGATTTGATTGGTCTTGTTGATCGTTGTTTTGTATAGATTCTCGAACGTCGATCATACACTGTATTTAGACAATCCAAATTTGGTAATATAACCTGACTGCAATGTAGCGCGGTCGCGTTTTTCTTCGTCAAATCTACATAAGATAATGTCAAATTCTGTCTTAGTTAACAAAACCTTAAATAACAGTTTTACTGATGATCCCTGGTCGTATTACGTTGAGAACGATACAGAAAGTTCAACAGTTCATCCATACTTTCGTGCCGTACAAGCAAGATTCTGGATCTTTGAACATTATATTAACTGGATGTGTGATAACGTCGAGCTTCCTATTTGGCCCACCTGTGTATCTCAATTTTACGAGTCTTTAAGTATTATCAATAAAATCAAACATGCACCTCTTTGTGTTCGAGCGTATGTGAAAAGTATTCGGGAAACTATTAATGTAAGTACCAATATTTATTTGCTTGGCTTGTTTGGACAGAAGGCTCATGAAATTATGAATTAGGAAGAGGAGAACCAGAATATAATGGAGAATCTTGAGTATAAATATCAAGCACTATTGAAGGAACAACAGAATACGAATTTTAGCAAGGTTTGTGATTGCTACTATTTACTGGTACTAATTAATGGAAAACTTACGCATATAGTTTGAAATCCAAAATAGAACCTGTTACATGCACAAACGAATAGTATGAGTTATGATAGGGCCACAGGTGCTGTCAATTCCAAAAGACAGGCGAACAAGAAAGGAGAGCAGAAAAGGAGAAGAACAGATGACAGTGATTATGAGGAAGATATCGAAGGGTCTGTTCTCTTTGATGAATCAAATGAGGACAATTTAATTGATTCTATAGATGGGCTGAAAGAAGAAGCAGTGTTGCCAATTTCGGGAACAATTGCTAATGTAAGTTTTTTGTTAAAGTCCAGACTTGATATTATATTCCCAGCATGCTGATTCAACCATGCTTAATAGACTTCAAAGCAGGAATTTTTACAAAGTATCTCCAAGAAATTCAATAAATATCAGGAAAAAATTCCTAAGACACGTTGAATAATAACGTAAGCCTTGTTATTGTGATTTCAACATGGTAAATTACTTGTTCTTAAATTTTGCTTGCTATTCAATAGATTAGGTTATTGGGGCATCTTTGATCTAACACAACAGAGTCTTTATGGATGCACAGATTTCTCTCAAAATGAAATCAGTAAAATTACACAAGATTTTGCCAATCATGTTCATTGGTCTCCACAACAAACTCCAGATTACCTTCAACAATATTTTGATTCCAATTGTGATCCCACCAAACTTAAAGATAATGCAATGGTTGAAAGAATACACACAAATATACAATTTATGTAAGGTTTTACTTATCAGTATCTAGTATTTATGTGACTACTCTGATATCTAACGAGATTTTCTTTACCAGACTCTATAATATGTCTAAAAAAGGAGCTAAGACAGAAGAAGAACATAAATTTGTTACCATATATCCTTTATTCAATGCTTTCATGGACCATTCATTAATAAAAGATACTTGGTATGTTCATTGTGGGGTTATTTATTATTTACTACAAAATACATAGTACTAAAAAGTTTGTTTATGTGCATATAGGGGAGAGACTCAGACACTTTGCTCAAATGCAAATCCTTTTGTCAAAGCTTGCATGGGGCGAAAAGTTGATATGAAAGGCACCCTGATAAGGACATCCAATAAATTTGAAGCCTTGTGTGGAAAGGTTGCAAATGGGTTAAGTCCATTTGGAATATCACTTGCATCACAAAAGAAGAAATATTTAGACAAAGTCAAACTTGCAGTATTAATGCGAGACTCGTTAAATAGTATTTTAAAGAAATGGAAATACTTAAATGATGAACAGAGAAAAAAGATTATTGTATATGGTTGGACACTTGCAGGTGGGCAGATATTTTATGTAGTCCATTTGCCCGGACTCTACTATATAACTGATATATCTCATTCAATATAGGATTTGACTTATCTCTATATGCAATGGATTGGACTGGAAATGGGATGTATCGCTTTGGATTGATAGAAAATTGTCATCTTCCATCAAACAAAGAGGATTGTGCTTTATTTGAAGGTGCCTTTTGCCTCTTGAAAGAATTGGAGGTATGTATATCTTGTTCTTGTCCTATAATTATAATCGTTAAATACTCAATTCATCTGGTTTTGTACAGAGGAAACTAACTGAGATGGAAAAGCTCATCCAAGAATTACATGCTGCAAATACACGTGGAAAGTGTAGAAAAGTAACTACTGAGAATAGCCCAACCCTAAACCTTAATGGAACTCCGAATTGATTTACTTCCGTTCAACTGAAATCACAATCATAACAAAGTCATGAATTTTCAGACAACTTATCGTGCCATCGTTAACGTGACATTGTGTAAGAGTGCAACATACACAGTATAATGCCATGCGCCCTAATGGTGACAGCGCGGGAATACAAGCGCAGTGTGCAAATATCTATAGCGGGTTACTCAAACTGCTTTAGGCTTTCGCGGATAACACATCAAACTAATAATGTCAACGAATATTTAATTCTATAATTAGTTCATTAATAGACGGTTAGTTATCTTGTGCATCCTTTATTAAGCACAACTAAGTTAGTGAATTGCACATTGTTTGGATATAGTTTTTTTGAGTCTAAAATTCCCTTCGAATACTTGTGCTATTAGTTTATCAGTGTAGTTAGCAATCGAGAATCTGCGAGATCAAACGTACGAACCGTGAGTATATAAATCCAATTTAAGGTCACAAGGGTAGTGTTACACTTATTACAGTACTATTACTATTGTTGAATTATCGAATAAAGTAATATTTGCTATTTTATACACCTATACATAAGTAAACATATTACTCAACCAATGGTTAAATTGAATATATTGATTAATATTGCGAGACAATTCAGTTAGTAAACATTTGCAAAATGTGTTTGACGTAGGTCATCAGATAATAATAACATTAAATCATAAACAATAAACAAAAAACCCTTTTATATCCTTTTTAGACGAACTCTTAATTCATATTCCATCGCGATAACCACCTTTCCTCATTCTTGCACTGAATGCCTTTGTATCTCCGTCACAGCTAGCGGCTCCAGGAATTTAACATAGCCTCTTTGATTTTGTAATCATTTAGTGTTGTTGTATTTTACCGTTCTCCCTCTCTCACCCCACGCCACCCGCCATAAGGAATGTCTCATAACTTCAATAGTATGAGCTACCATCGTCGTTGTCAACAAAATTCGCTTTTGAGAATAAATGAAATAAAAGACAATGATCAGGGATAATTTCGTCGTATATACTGTATTAGCCTTACTCTTCGTAATCCTACTGCGATTATATTATTTACAGTAGTTCCGACCATATATAGTAAAACAACGGCATGAAGGCCTTCGACGTCAAAGTAAGCCCTCCTCCGTATGGCAGAAAGAAACTCGCCGCATCGTCAAAGTAAACTTTAAAATAAGAATAAATCATTCGTCTAATTCATTTTGGTTGTTTTTAAACTGGAAGACAAGTTCAAACCTTTGTTTCGCTCAACCCTAGCTTTTTGTTGTCAGATTCGATTATAAAATATCTCGATCAAATTTGAATACACATTGCAAAGACCATTAGTGGCCTGTGTCGTGCCGACTATCACGGGGAGCGGGATTTAGCTAGTATCGATGGAGCGTGGCGCCTCCAACTCTAGTCAAATTTCTGATTACAGTTAGTGACCTCGTTAATTCAAGGCTTTCCACTTACGAACTATTTCGTCGTAGAATGACGTTAATCCTAGATATGTAATCGTACTTGTGGGATAAATTCAATAGTCTTCCGTCTGGGTACAAATAAAGGTAACGTGTTTCTAAAATAACGATTAAATATCTTAACTCGCCACTCAGATAATTGCGGGACAAGAGGGCAATTATCCTTCGTTGATATACGAATTTAACAGTTTCTCAATTATACCAACTAATTTAGAGAATAGTAATAGGGTGTCAATAATATAAGTTTAGAGTAAATGCGATACTCGTTTATTAACAATAATATATGAAATATAAGGAATATCAGGAATCAAATTCACACTGCGAATCTAGCTGAAATCCATGCTGCTTATATACCTTTCGATCTGACTAATTGAGCTATTTTTAGCAGCTATTTCCATCTATCGAATACATCTTTTACGTTTGCAGCGCTGCTACAGTACTGTCCGTTACACTGCTATTATAAATTTCGTACCACTTGCAGCACTGCTACACCGTCAACGAAGTGACGGGTTATACACTAATTGCCAATAATTTCTTTACACACTGTATATGTTTTATTTATTCAAGACGCGTAATAGAAGACTTTGTCTATATTTTCTATTTTTAGCTGTTAAACACGACGCAATTGAGCTAAAATTGACTAAGTCTCAACCTTTTCTGCCACAAGAAGAACAGAAGTATGTATTGAAAATAACGGATGGCCAACCAATATTAAATTTTCCAGAATAGTTGCTCTACAAATTTAAAAAAAAAATCATCCGGGATAATTATTATGTAGCTTATTCTGTAAACTAAATAAACGGGTGTCCGTAATTTATTTTAGGGATTGTATCTATACAATAATACAAAGCTATTCAGATCTCTAGTATAAGGGAATAAATTCGTTTGACTCGAAACTTTGCCTAATCTAAAGTTGTTGGTATGCAGAGCAATTAAAGAAAGAAAATTCTAAAAGCCATAATAAATTGCGCACGGTCTTTACCGCGACGGAGGTGGTAACGTGAACCAGCCGCCCATGTAAAGCTTTACTACGCTAGTAGCACCTCTGGGGTACGATAATAAGCAAAATTCAAATGTCAAGCAAAACGTTGAGCGCAACCGACGAAAGCTTCTAGGCTGTTCTTTAAAAAATCTGTTAGGATAGCAGCCTGTCTTTTACATAAGAATCTAGATTGAGCGCGTTCGAGATGCGAACCAATGAGCGTTTAGAGTCGTTCATTACACATTAATTGGGTGGCATTTGGATGTTCGCTCAAAAAAATTTGGTCGGCGCGGCGCAAGTTATTCGTATCACGTGATACCAAATTCCTGCGCCAACCAATGTATTGTAAATGTCCATTAGCTCAGAATTCTCTCTTCGCTCGAGTTCTTTTGCACCAGGCAGGTAGTTCACGCACTATAGCAAACTGTTAGCCTCTGCTGTTGTCAACGCCGCGGAGACAGTACATCCTGTTAATCTAGATACCTTAACAGGTTTCCTATTGAGCGCAGTTATAACGTCTCCCCTTAAAACTTGAACTAAGTTGCTTAGTAGTGTTTGCGAGCTTACAACAATATACGAGTAACAGCAATACTAGTCTCCAAAAAGAAATAAGGGAAATCTAGTATTGGTCTTGTCATATTCTCTTGGTTCTCGCAGTTTACCTACGGTTTTTCAATCTTACCTACCAAGCCTTTAATTATTTATATCACATTCTATCTTATTTAATTTAAAATAATATTTAATATTTTAATGCCCAGTATGGATTTCACTATGTCTTTCGCCATCTAAATGGAGAGCATAATATTCCCATTATTTTTTTATTTTGCTGGTTCCAAGAGAACTTCAAGAAACTGGTTGTTTCAATACTATTTCATCTTCAATTTGGCACTTTTACTCTTTCCCATACCAAGGAAAAGTCGAGAGAAATTCGATAACATTTATTCTCAATATATATCTTATCTATTGTATTCACTGTTACGTGTATTATCACTGGCTACTATTATTGCTTCACGCAATTGGAATTGTTTGATTTTATTCTTCCCAAGAAAATCACACGACTCTCGCGTTAGCACTAATTATCGCAACAATGAACGCCAACGCACCCACCTTCATTCCTCAAAATGCTACTGTGAGAACTGGCGCTTCCACTTCTTCGTCTTGTGGTCGGCGATCACCTGGCCACACTTATTCTCAATCACGGAGCTCGCACCCGCCTGAGAACAGGAAATCATCAGGAAGCCCACGAGATTCCTATCAAAGCGACCAGTCTGGTGAGTGAAAATAGATCGGTCGGTCTTATAATGCAACCATTCGGATACTAATGCGGTCTTGAAACAATTACAGTCGCCCGCCTAAATAATGGCAATAAGAGATCTAACCCTCATCGCAAGAATAACGGTTCGTCGCGTTATAACCAACGCAGTTTCCCTGCTGCCCGCGAGAAACAAAAGAATAACTCGTTCGATTATGAGCTTAATGGCATTCCATCAACTGATGACAATGCGGTGTCGTCCTCCTCTGTTCAAGAGGTTGCAACTGCCATGTCTGATATGACTATAGCAAATGATGATCCTGCAGTATGCATAAATTTATGTAAAGCTTGTTTTTTCATATCAAAATTCTTCCGGCGAGCGCTTACATATATTTATTATGTAAATAGATATATGGAGTTCCAGACAGAAAGGGTCGTATATCTTTAAATCACCTCTTGCGATTTTCCTTTCCAGAAAGACAACAGTCGCCTGCTATGTTGCCTCGGCGACACCGACCATCAAACTATCAGCCTTACAACAAAGAACGTTTTGTAAACGCCAAGTGAGTCCAAGCCTTTTCGTTGTGCATTTCACGTTTATGTTATGTAGGACGAGTCGATTGACCGACTTTATTATAGTTTTCGCTTTTTAGTGAAGTCGACGGGTGATTATACTGTCTATCAGGTTGACCCGGGTACGTGCAAATTGTACATTTAGAAACCAGCAATTTAATTGATTGCATTCATTGACGAGCTCTTGATGAATATCTTTTAGACATTCTGTTGAATTGGTCGGATATCGAACAAGTGGTATGTATTCAGCGTGCTTACAATGCAAACAATCAGTTCATCTATATAATGGGAAGCAATTTGTTATTCAGATTATTACAACTTCCATGATACCGAGCTGTCCGATTTGTCTTCAGCAACCCGCTGCAGCTCGAATCACTAAATGCGGACACTCTTACTGCCTTTCTTGTATAATTCATTATTTACAATTGATCGTCGATGAGGAAAAACCTAACAGGAAATGGCGGAAATGTCCAATTTGCTGGGATGCCATATATGCTCGGGATCTGAAGAGCGTTAGATTTTGGATTATTGAAGATCTCAAAAGACCTGGCAATGGAAAACCAGCCGAGAGTGCAATTACTATGCGGCTGATTTATCGTTCTATGGTGAGTGCATTGACATAAAAACCTACAAAATTTGTAGTTCCACAATTAACATTTTGACGTATCTTATTGTGTAGAATTCGACTATGGCATTGCCTAGAACTTCGACCTGGCCGTCTCGCGAAAACGATAATGCCACAGAATCACTTCCATGGCATTTTACGCCTAATGCATTGGCTTTTGCAAAAATGATGCTTGCTTCTGCAGCCTATATGGAAACAGAATATCATAGAGATCTTAGGGAACTCGATGAAATACTGGAGGAAGCCAAAAATTTGAACTATCAGGAAGAGATTCCTTTCATTGAAATGGCTATTGTAACTGTGCAGGTTTGTGCTCCATGTTAAAAGAGCAATGTTAAAAGGTCATACCATTGACATTTGGCTTATGTGACTCTTTAAAATTTCAGGATCAACTTGACCTTCCCCAGAAACCTACGCCTGCTAGTGTGACTGATCTTGAAAAGCGTATCCATGACTTAACCGAGTCGATAAATGTAAAGAATGTAGCTGAAGAACTCAAAGTAGAGGGAGGGACAGGTTATTGGGATGACACGAAGTCGGTTGCGCGTGGTATTAAAGCAGGAGTAAGTTATGGTCATACTTATCTGCCACATTCTTAATGGCAAATAGAGAGCTAAATACTATTACTTAAATAGGGGAAAGTTCAGGAAGCGATTTCAAACGAAGGTTATGGAAATTATTCCTTGCAAAGCCCTGACTATTGGATCCAGACGGTACCTAACACTGTCTCGGAAGACGATATTCCTGCTTTTCTTCCAGACGAGTTCCGAGAAAAAGCCCATATCGCCACGCAAGAACCTACGCATGAGCCTACAGATAACTTTGCGGCCACGAAGACGAATGTTGGCAATACACGTGATTCTGTGTATCATTTCTACCAGGCTGGTGATGGCCAGCGTGTCTATTTGTATCCTTTGGATATTCGCATTTTAAAATACGAATTCGGTAGTTTTGAAAACTTTCCCAATACTATTACATTACCTGTCGTTGGGGTTCAAGAGAGCACAATGACTGAGGTATGAATCTGAAATAAGTTGAACATTTATTTGCGTTTTACACGGTCTCTAAATTGCTCTCAACGTTTCAAGGACCTGCGCAAACGATTTAAATATTTGAACCATCTGCCTCTGAGCTGTGATGTGACATTTATAGAAGTAGATCTAACGGATATCGTGTCTAAGGCTACTCTGCAAGTATTTAAGAGTAAGTTATTTTCTGTATGTCTTGAAAGCGATTATGTGATTCTACAGTAACTGCTAACTGTAATTCCAGAGGAACTTGATCAGCGTGAACATCGCCGGAAAGAGAAATTCCGTATTGAACAGAAGCAACAAAGAAAGGCTGTCGGCGAACGTAAATTTAATGAAGAAGATTATGACTTTTCTTTTCAACCATTGCCTTCAGAAAGGAACAATCCGCGAGGAGAAATATCTGATAGTGAAAGCTCTTCAAGCGGTAATCCAGTCGCATCTAGGGTCGAGTACGATGGTCCCAGAACAGTCTGGGGTACTCCCGCAGTTTCGTTTGCGGATGTTACCCGAGGACGTGGTTCAGAAGAAGATGATTATGTCTTTTACGATTTTCAAGAAGAGGAAGTGTATTTTGGGAAAAAACAAAAAAAGAAGAAACTTGTACTTATGTCGACCAATGGAAATAGACGTCAATAATAAACTTTGAATCAGAATAATTCTGCTCAGATATGGTGCCATATCATTGTTGAGTTGCGAACTTTTCAAAATTCGAATCTTCTATTGTGAATAGTCAAATACCTTACGGGAAAAGTGATTATCGATTCTATTGCATTAATCTATCATCTGTTCAATCCTTTTGATGTTTTCGGCGAAAGGTTCCTCGCATATTGAACTAGTATACAACTCATCGATAATTTTTATAGCAAAAGGAGTTTGTAGTGTTCTGTAGTTAGCTGACATGTCAACTCAGCAACTATAGCTTCTTTCTCTTTCCAAATGCAAGTGACAACAATGTCATCTGACATTATGATATCATTATATATGGTTGTAATAAGAGACCAACGTTAAGCAAGAGAGAACGAGGTTATACATGATGCCGTATGAGACGTAGGAATTCAACCTGAATGCGAGATGTTATTACTTCCATCTATTGAACAAAGATCCACAACAGAAACATTGCCGCTGCTAAGGAAAAGGTTCTTCCACCAGTCCATGCTTCATTGATTGGGTGATGATATTCTTTCTACGAATTATTAAAGGGTTAGTCGCCCTTCCCCAAGTGAATACTATTACTATATCCAAAATTCGGACACTACAATCCGGCATACGTGGCTGGAAACAAACTATCTTAAAGCATTGACAAATTCCATATTGTTCAGTCATCTAGAATTAAAGTTCGGAGAACTTTCAGTAGGCATTTCGCTACCCGACAACAATTTATTAATGCATCACAATCAAATCGTATGTATTCACACTAAAAAAAATCTTGCCATTAGGAAATTAGAAGTTTCCGTGTTATTAGGAATGTGCAATAAAACAAACCACTACAGATAGCTTTTTTACAAGTTTTGTGTACTATTATGTAAAGTTTATTATTATAATCATCATTATTATATTCACGTGATCTCGATAAGTCGGCCACCAGACCAGCCCGCCTTGGCTGACTATCGAGGTTGACTTGTACCAGAAGACATACTATAGCGATGAGCAGAAAATCGTTGCTCGCGCTTGTATTGCACGCGGGGACTCTGCGTTGTTGACTCATGTTCACTCTGTGTTGATGTTGGTAAAGGTGGTGGAGATGGTGATGAGGGTAGAGTTCCGGAAAAAGAACTGAGCGAACCGCCAGAAGACCGACGGGATCGACGTTCTCGAGATTCAAGAGTACGTCGTGATGGCTGCTGAAAATCATTGACCGACTCTGATGGTAAGTTTGGAGAAACTTGGTGCCCAGAACGATTATATCGTAATGTAGCCCGGGAACCACCGTAATAAGATAATGTTGGTGATGTTGGACCGACAGAAGAAACTGGAGAAGTTCGTCGGCCAGCTTGATCACCTTGCTCGGTTCCCTGTTGCATTTCGTGGTACGATGTTTGAGTTTCTTGAGCCGAGCCGTTAGCCATCGTAAGACGCGAGGAAGCCAGCGAAGGAGATACAGATCTGTTCGTATGAGTCGTTGTCGGAATTCCCAAGATCGAGGAATTCGTTGAGGAACGCCCATTTTGCACATTTTGTTTATAATCTCTCTCAGCAGTAATATTCCTTACTGCATAAGCTCTCTGTGCTAATGGCCCCAATGCTAGCAAACATTCCGTCAGGCTGCGTATCTGTTCATCACTAGTTTTCAGCAGGTCCTTCACGGTCCTTTCCAAAGTTTGAGGATCCATATCTGGTTGTGCCAATATACTACGAAACCTCCGATTCAATAGTAGCGCGGTTGACACAACCATCGCCATAGAACGTGAGGGTGACGGAGATGTATCTTCAGTCGATTGTGATATCGTTGTCGGAAAGGCCTTTTCAAAGAATTCGAAAGCATTTTGCAAATGCTTCTGATGTTGAGCGGATACAGTAGAGCGACTTGATGAACTAGTTGCTGTTGAACTCGTACCTTGTGAGTCATTAGGAGATGTCACGCTCGGCGACATCATGTCGTATGTGAAACGTCGACGTCGACGATCGATAGGGGAGTCTTGAAAAAAAAATTATTCACGAGTTAGAACTATATCACTTATTGAGTTAATTACTAATTGCTTGCTTTTAATCTTTTCTTTTTTTGTCCGGTGGTTTCCCAATTTACTGGCATAATGGCTGATACTTACCAATGTGTTCAGATTCAAGTCTCTGAATGCGAGATTTTAAGCTGCCCAATTCTTCCAGTAAGGATTCTCCCGAAACAACACTGCTATTATCATCAGCAATCTCTGTTGATGCATGACGATCGTCGGGACGTCGTCCAGGCGTTCTATTTACTCTCGAAGTAGTGTCACCGCCATCTTTTGAAAACCTTTGCAGCGAAGATAGTCTTCGTCCATTCACAGAAGCAGTAGTCAACTTGCTGGCAGGCAGCATGGCCTTACCTTCCTCACCAATAGCATTATCAGAGAATGAACTTGTTTCTTCTTCAATTTCTTCCATGGAAGAGTAAAGCATGCTCGTTGGACGACTGCGGTTATTGAAATCTAACTGATTATTGTCAGTTCCGTAACGTCGTCGCAATGAACCCTTACCCATCAAAGATGGAGTAAGCTGTAAATGAGCACTCGCCATATCGAATTCTGAATCAGATGACTCGGGCGTAAGAGGACGACGTTTCGAACTTATAGATTTTGTATTTATAGTTAAACCGGGCTGTAGTTTATTAGATCTCCGATTAATAATCTCATTCGTATCCTTAGCATTACTGTTATCTAGGTTATTGCTTATAGTATCATCACAGGAGTCCGAGTCTGTTGTATTATTATTCTCTGCAGAAAGGTACTTTAAATCCAATTCCCCCGTACTCAATAAATCAGCATTTTGCTCCTTATTTAGACGATGCGTAACTTGTTTGCCTGTCTTTTGCATAGAACATCGATTGTCCCCCTCTGGAAGAGTTTGTAAGTTCTCCATATAATCATCTTCTCCCCCCTCAAGAACTTCATCAACTTTCAAAGAAAATTCAAGTTGTGGGATAGAAGAAACAGATTGCTGCTGTACACTACTACTTCGTCTTCGTCGTGATTTGAGATTGTTTACTAGAGTATCAATATCCTTTTCCGAATCGCTTATATCACGCGGTGCGATGTTTTCTATCCGGTTATTTATATCAGTGAGCGCTTGTGATTGAGATTGCTGCAGCTGGGTTATTTGGTCAAGAATCTATAAGAAGACGTAGTTGATAGTGCAACGGAACGAATTCGGTTAGCGTACTGAAGCCATGATTGAAAAGTGCAAATTACCAAAAGTCGACTGTCCGTAGGCGATTCCTTCGATGCACGAACTTTTCACTCTATAAACAGTAACCGGTCGAATTGTTATACCTCCTTATGTCTTGACGAAAGGGAAGCTATTGCATTCTTAGTGTGCCGTATGAAGGTATTCCCGCGTTCAGTAGGTGTCGCTGGCGCGGAAGCCGTGGTCATTATAGTTATAAAATTAGAAGTATGCTCCCCCAACGGAATAGAGCAAAACTAGCGCACTTCATCAACAAAGTACTTTACTAAGGACAGAGAGATTGGTCCGAATAATACAGTAAGAAGTTGGAATCTACACTAAATTGTCTGGTAAAGTCAGTTTATAATAAAGAGTCCGTCCGAAAGAAAGCGTGATTCCAAAAAAAAAAGTATGGGTAAACGTAGAATAAAATATAAAATGCTGGTAAATAGAAATTATTCTTTAGGGGGGTTTAGTAAGAAGTATCCAACTGATAAACAGAAGCAGAATGTTTGGTAACACATGCCCAAATTTAGCAGGAAGTCTAAATTTTTGGTAAGTGAATTCGTGATTAGTGAGGCAACATGTAAACTACAGCACATATTCGGAGGTGCTCTCGGCAGGTGCATACATTAAGCGAACTACTTTCCTCATTAGTGTACTTGTTTCAACCATAACAAAGATTCCTTAGTTAACGGGCAAGTGCATCAACTGGGCATATAATATGGCACGTACAATATCTGTGGGTTTGCCCGAAGTGATGAACAGTGCATATACGCACATGTTGAATTCTCCTCGGAGACAAAGAAACATTCGTTATCCAAGTTTGCTTCATCCGGCATGTATCGCCATTAATCCGATGCTAATGATGCTGCAAATGCCTGCGATGTCAATGATCTCATACGTAAGGGGCTGCGCAACATTATCGCCTACGACATACATTCTCTTTAATATAAACAATCGGTTTTCAGAATAGGAACACCATATTCCATGTCTTAGTATTTTGGCGGGAAAGTTCAAAGAATCATTATTTGTATCTCAATCCCGGATAATAATTAAACGAGCATAATGCGTAATGTTTATTGGACGATCCAGGTGGATTTTTCTATCATAGAATGGCCAATGGTCATTTAACGGCATATTGCTGGCCTCTAGCATAGCACGACGCATGGCAACCTGAAGGACTGATCACAAGATAGCTGCATTCACGGAAAGGATGCCCAATCGGCTATTTAGCCTGGCTTGACTAACATTATATTATCCTTAAAAAAAGCACAATATATTGTCAATAAGTATTACGAAAATAACAATGGTAGAAGCTCTCTTACCTTCACCAATTTTGAAAGCACCTTCCCACTGACACCAGCATACTCGAGAGAAGATATCTATATATATCAAGGATAATACGTTAATATTCTGCACATTCTAATATACAATAATTGCCAGATAAATACTTCGAGAATCGGTCCATGTGAATTGATATATTCTACTATTGTTCTTGCTCGTGCGTTTCCGATACCCTTCAATGACTTTATTTGCTTTGCATCAGCTGTGTTGATGACTTTTAATATAGATTCTTTCACTAATTGCCAATTTTCGGTTGACATCATTGGTTGATCTTTCGTTAGAGAATCTCGACTGTAAGGTTTGTTCTCCTTATCACCCTGGCTTCGCTCCCTTCGCAACCTCTCGCCTATACGCCTTTGTCCGTTTGCTTTGTATTTTATCACCTTGCCAGTCTTAATTCCTTCTTTTAAAGCGCTGATTTTGGTAGCCAGTCTAACATACTCCGGCAAATAGACTTGTGCTAACCAACCGATTCAATAGTTACTACACTGCAAATAGTAGATGAAATTGAAACAAAAAATGACAAAATGACCAGTAACCTTTTTCGTATATTTCTAGTGCGGGAACAAGCTCATCCTGTTTCTCATGCATCCGCCCAAGTGCAATCAAAGCTCTACCATTTTTTATCTTGGTCTCTGGGGTAAGCAATTGAACAAGCTGGGGTTCAATACTCGTTTCCCTATATTATTTGTTATTGTGAGTTATGTCATTGTTAGCAAGTGACACTCATCTGCCAATGAATAAACATACATTCGTTGCTCCAATCGTTCTTGAAGAGTTTCCTCAAAGTTTGCTTTTTGTTGAGATACTGGGCTAACATCAATTTAATGGGCTCTATTAGCAAGCTTTCATTACCCTTTTGTTAAATTCCAAACTTATTGACAAACCTTAAAAACTCCTGCTTTACTGAAATTTCTTTGATTCTCTTTTCAAGTTTCTCATCAATATTAGCTTCCATCTTCATTGTAAGTTTTTTTTCAATCTCCTCCAGTTGTTTCTCTGACAACACAGCCTTTGTACTTGCCGCATTTCTAGTGCCAAAAGTCTCTGCTAAACAGCCATGTGAACCTTTGGAAGAAAAATCGTGAAATTTCACGTTCTTCGTTGACACAAAGATACTGTCGCTGAGACGTTCATTTTTTGTAGACATGGCCCCTTTATTGTTCAAGCTCAAGGTCTTATCTGACAATGGGTCACTGAATCTTTGTTTCTTTCCATCTGATTGAGCATTGGAACGTTCAGCGGGAACAACACGCGTTGTCTTCTGGGGTTTCGCCAAAACCAATTGCTCGGCAACATGCCTAACATCTAATACATCTCAATTATAAAAAGACTAGTTGGTACGGATAATATTATGGTTACACGATATTTACTCACCAGTTATTTGGTTCACTTCTGGTCTATTTTCAATTTCTTTTGTTCTTGTTGCAAAATTCAGAGTACTCAATGATAGAAGAAATAAAAGTGTCAATTAAGTAAATAAACACATGTATAACGCATTGATAAGATCATCGTATGGCCTACTTGTAAGTATCTGTATAAAACGCCTTTCAAATATACATATATCGAGTTAGATTTGTCCTCATAACTCGATAAATTTAACATCAAATGTCTTACCTGACCGGGTGAAATGTTTATGATAATCATGCTAAGACTCCGGCCGCCAAGAGAATCCTTCGACGCGAAAATGTTATTCATGTTAGCATGGAATGCCTCTACTGACTAGCGAATCGAAAGCTTACCTGAAGTATCCGTGTCATTTTCGAATCACGGTAAGGGATTCGTGACTATAGAATGATTTACTCATTAATTTAACTGCGTCTAATTAGAAGTACGCTCCATCTATACTTACCGATCCTTGGCTTAATGCCTCAACAACTTGACCAAGTGCAAAAAGACTCTTATTGATAGCGGCGCTTTCTACTAATCGTTCTTTACCATTTTCTGTTCTCCGGTTGTCTTCCGATCCAGCCAAATCGATAAGATTGATTTTCCCAAATAATGTTGTACCCCTAGCATCATCTCGGCATGTCACATATATACAAAGAATCGCATGGGATCGACTAGAGTGAACATTTAACTTGGTTGCTGCAGTAGACCTGTGTTTGCAGGCGGCGCTGTAAACTTTCTCAAATTCCGCATATGAATTTATTTCTTTCTACAATGAGGCATCGGAACAAATTGTGCATAATTACATGGTCCATTAACACAAGAAAGTATAAAGAAAATAGTTCAAGTTTATTCTCATACGCACCTCGGTCAAATTGGCCACAAAAATATTCCTGTTCATGTCTTCTCGAATAGCTAGGCCAGTAATCTACAAATTTGATCATGAAAACTCTATCATTATAGGTGGGACATGTTCTCGATACATTTAAAAATCTACAGTAAATATAATTCCAACATCGAACTCACCGAGTCCCTCGGAACTAATAAATCGTATACATTCTCCTTGTAGATTTCCATGTATGATACTTTGATGTCAATACGATTGATTGACGTGTTCTTGATTTCAAACAGCCTCCTCAGTGTCCTCGGTATGATACCAGGATGCTCTTGGCTTCCTTGCATGGTGTGAGTCTTACCTGTAATAAACAAAATATTATTAAGCGCAACCAACATTAAACACAGACAGAACAACCGACATTGACCGAATATTAACCTGATCCTGTTACACCATAAGCAAATATTGTAGCATTCTATTGCAAGCCGTTCATCAGTAAAACGTAAAAGTGAAACGAATGTGCATGAATGTAATCTAGTCACTTACTAGTCCTTTAAGCACGTGGTCTAACAACGGATAGACATCATTATTGAAAAGTTCTGTTTGTGCAGTAGTTGGTCCGTAACAAGCATTGAAACTTGTACGTTACAATTCGGGAAGAGGAACGCGCTGAGCTAAATGTGTAAGAAGTTAGACGATTGATATTTATTTATTCGTACCTATACTTCAATATTTCTGTCGGGTTTCTCTGGTTGGTAATTTTAATAGAATTGCCATCAACGCCTACCGTGTCGTCAGGAAATTCATGAGGTAAGAAGGGTCGAACACGGCAGACTACTTTCACTTTTTGTTGAGAGATAGGATTATCTGTTTTCGTAATTTTCTTTATTGGAAACTGCATTAGAGTCGGCTCTCGATTATTTACGAAGAGTTATTTTTTGTTTAATGAATTTGGTCCCAAGGAATCATTATGTGTTGGCTTGTTTTATCTTTACGTGACACATTCGCCTCTTGTTGTCGTGTCGTATCGTGTAACGAATGAGATCAACCAACGCCACAAGACATCCTTAAGGTCATGTGGGTTTGTGGCGTTATAAATATGGATTATAATTAATAATACGTAAATTCTACTGCGCTTTGTTTTTCAAATACAGTCAACCCTCTTTATAGTCACCCCCTCTATAAGCACATCATGTTTGATAACCAATTACTATTGAACTTATAGGAAAAACCCTCTATATAGTCACAACCTCTTTATAAGCACATTTTCAACAAAAGTTGCATTGTTCCTGACAGCGTGACTATAAAGAGGGTTGACTGTATAACTAGCAATCGTATGTTGCTAAATTTATGGCTTCTTTTTCGCTTCCTACCCGGGGCTTTACCTCTTGTATTGGTCTAATCCACCCTTTCTGTCAAGCTGCCATTGTAACGAAAATGTTAGACTCTGTTGAGATTTGAAAATACATCTTTTGCGGCAGAAGCAAGTGAGCGAGTTTAATCCGAACTGCTTCGTGCTTATTATTTTACCTGTATTTCTAGATTATAGATATCGGAGTTAATAGAATAGAGCTGTTTCATTTACATGGTGTTTCCCTCAGACATGTTGTGTACGGTAAGTTAGTTTAGCAGTATTATTATAACATCAACAATAGTTTAACTTGTGTCCAAAAGGAACACAAAATACGACACTATTAAACTTCTGCCTCATCTCATTAAATATGGCGGACGGACTGAAACAATGATAAACACGTTAGGACGATGCATCAAATATTATGCACAGAGCGGAACGTTTGCAGATGTATCATATTAATATCGTAACCCGCGCGGATAATACATATGTAGTGACTTTTACCAGAATAAATTTATGGATATCCGTGTTTCCTATTTGCTTTTACCGATAGTCAACATTTGCAATAATGTTTCTAAAGTCATTTAGTTTGATTAGCGAAAGCTATATAAAAAATGTAGCGTTTATGCTGTTACTGACATCATTGATAACAGTGATGATAAGTGATGTACTTTAACAGCAATTTTGACGCGAAACGTGTGTTAAACGTGTTAACTAAAGACATACATATCTTTCCCACATGGAACCATTTGAGTCATGTATGTCATGTTTTGCAATATGCACTTGTAGTGTTTTCAATAAACTACATGCATGTTTATGTTTCACTGTCCACCCGTACAATTAACAGTCAAGAGGAAACATATAAAACAAAACAAAGCTATAATCAGGTAACAGTAGCGAAAGTTGTTATCACTCATTATTAGCATTTATTCCAACATTACGAACGTCTTCCAGAACAAATACGGTATATGCGCTTCGGTTACGTAAGGCGGAAGTAGAGATACAGAAACTTGTCACAGAAAACTTCGAACTGAGAGCCGTTATAGCACAACTAAAGACCGAAGTCAGCAGACTGAAGACTGATAAAGATACTGGTAATAAGTTCTATCAAAACACGTTGAAGGTAAATATACCCGGCAGCTAACAACGAGACAATTTGATTCGTAAATATTAATTTTGAAACACCCAAAGTCCAGTAGCGATAAAATCACAAGCATATTGCACAAACTACACAATGCAGTTGACGCTCTAAATGTGTTGGTCGATGAAGATGTTAGGAACTCTCAAGATGACAAGTACTCTTGGAGTAAGTTTAAGCGAAACCCTCATTTCCAACGCCAGCCGAACTTTATTAAATTAATAATAGCTCAAATACTCGATGAAAATTTTCAAACTTCTGAAGGATATCGTTCCACTACAAATAGTAATTTGGATAAGTGGACCGAAAAGGTGCCAGAGAAAAGGAAACTTCAAAATCCGGTATGGATACGCGTATATGTTTTGATATAACTACATTGGTTCTCATTATAAATTCTTTCAGATTTCCTCATACATAAAGGACGCGAGAATGCTAGCAAGTATAAACGAAACCGCCGAAGAACAATCCACACTTGAAGAACGTGTAATGCGGTAACTATTTCAGTAAAGCAATTGAGTACCGATTGATTATTTTCTTTGTAAAACCGTTTGTTTTTGTAAATCTCAACATGACATTAATAAAAATACATTCACCCCGCTCTCCAGTTCGACGCAAAGACAGGAACCATCTCAACTGCAACTCCAAACTACAGAATTTGATTACCAAACTACAGAATTTGACTATATTCCATCTCAACTCAACATTACTTATGACATTTCACCGCAAACCAAGATAGATTCACGCGCTATAATGGACGATCTAATAACCGCGGTGAGGCGACCAAACGATTTAAGTACAATATACACAGAGCATCCAATATCACAAGAAGACATTTCTGAAGGACGACCAGAGCAGATAAAAGAGAGAAAAGACGGTATAGCTGTATACTGATTGTTTTGCATCAAAGAAACTGTTGCTTATTCAAAAATAATAACGAACAGAATATGGCATCCAAACGCGCAAAAAGGCGGCAATAAGTTATGCTGAACCTAGTCTCCGAAGGCACGTTGAAGATTTCTTGATTATTGTTTGTGTCTAACACTAAGTCGAGACTAAACAGCCACTGCAATTTAAATTTTATTAGTAAATTACGGAAAGGGGACCCATTTACGTTCGGAGACACTGGAGAACTTGATTTACGGAGACAAAATAATGCAAATACCAAGACTATTGCCTCACAACATCGTGTTCCACTTTCTAATATTACAAACTGTAAGGATACTGTTAAACTTTTATATTGCTTTGAAAACGTGACTAAACCCCCTTCCATACCAAACAGTTAGCATGAGACAAAGGTAGAACAGCTTGCTCGTTAGTAAAACGGACATAATAAAACTTGACTGGAATTTATCCCTATTACATTATAAACTTTGAAATTGAACCTAGCAATAATGTGTCTTCTATGCTATAATTTCTGTTTGATTGTAAGAGATAGTCTCATACTCCATGGTGTTCTATAACTTTGGATTTTACGGAATATTGATTAAGTATAAACGCACGAAGTCTTTAAAATATATTGGAAATAGACCTTCGCCATATAACAAGTCGTCAACCAGAACAACATTACAAAATAGCCCTCTTTGATGGGTTACAATTCCCCAAAGGAAGAATCGCCTTCTTTTGGAAGAAAGGCAAGTTGCTTAATTGTAAGTTTGTGTTTAATGCTGGTCATATTCGTTTTAGCTGCCAGTCTTCCTTCAAGTCGTGTGTGATACAAAACGTTCCGTTGAAAATTAATTACTCATGACAATCGCATACCTCATAAACGTGATCATGCAAAATTTTTTGTCAAAAAAATTTAAGATGATGTCACCAACAATACCGTTTTCCCCCTCTCCCCAGTTCTTCTGTGAAAATATCCATAGAGCTCATTCAACATGGGTAAGGATGAATGAAATGTTCTTGCGCAGCCATACATGCTGTATTGTTTGAATTTAATGAGTGACCGACTCTAATTCCGTTTGGGTTTTATTCGGATTGTCGCGGGGGTCGTAATTAGCCGTTGGCAAGGTTTGTATTGGATTAAAATCTTCCTTGAAAGCATCCATCAGTATTCTATCGCTCTATTTAGTGATATCATAACTAAAAGCGTATCATTTTAGAATAAACGTCTTAGCAAAGGAAAGAAGGGATTGAAAAAGAAGATGTAAGTTAGGTTATTCTGCGGAGGAAATGTAGATGGAATGAAGCCGAGTAAAGATACATCATGTGTGAGCGTGTCGTCATATACTATATAATCAATGTGTTTCGTGAATAGTTTTCGCTGATCAGAGTACTTGCTTGAGCAAGTGAACGCTATCTAGTAACAGCAATTAATACGAATATTCCGGCATATGATCTCGTTTTTGGCGAAACACAGAGTTGATCCCTTCACCAGAAAAGACTGGTATGATGTCAAAGCGCCTTCGCTTTTTAAACAAAGAAACGTCGGAAAGACTCTTGTCAATCGTACGCAAGGTCTAAGTAAGTAATCGCCTAATCAGTATTATTTATTGACGCTTGTTATCTGTATCAAGAATAATAAAATGATAGAATATGATGTCCGATATTAACACTAACTGTTAATTGTCTAAAACTAGAAAACGCCAACGATGCCTTAAAAGGCCGTGTGTTCGAGATATCTTTGGCGGACCTGAACAATGATGGTGATCATAGTGATGATCGTCATGATCAGGCCTTCCGTAAGATCAAGCTCAGAGTAGATGAAGTTCAAGGCAAGAACCTCCTCACCAACTTCCATGGTATGGATTTCACATCTGACAAACTTCGGTCTTTGGTAAAAAAATGGCAGGTCTGTAACAAGAAATGAGCGAAGAATAACAACCATGGCGATTACTTTATGTAAAATAGGGCCGTGTACGCATATCAATTTGACAACCAAAATAGTACGACGGCTTCTGCTTTAATTTTAATGATTTTCATTCCAACAGACTCTTATCGAAGCTCACGTCGATGTCAAGACAACCGATGGCTATCTTCTACGTCTATTTGCAATTGCATTCACCAAGAGACGTCAAAATCAAGTACGAAAGACTACATATGCCCAAACATCTCAGATTCGTCAAATTCGAAAGAAAATGTTTGAGAGCATGACAAAAGTAGTATCGCAAAATGAGTTGAAAGTATTGGTTAGCAAGCATCTCCTGACCGATGCTATCGGTAATAATATTGAGAAGGCTTGTCAGGGAATTTACCCTTTACAAAACGTATGTTACAAGATCAGTCAGATGAGACCCTTGCAGTATTTCTGTTTGGGGGGGATAGGAGCGGATAGAGGGTTTGCGTATTTTACTATATTTCTATCGCTGTCTCCATGCTAACACTTTATGTCATCGCATAACGTAGGTATATATCCGCAAGGTAAAAATTCTAAAAAGCCCGAAGTTCGATATACAGAAGTTGCTTGAACTTCACAGCGACACGGCCGATACAGGCTCTAAAGTGGGGGGTGCAAATAGAGACTTCAAAGAACCGGAGGTCTTACAATCCGTGTAAATTGCGCCCAAATATAATAATCTACAAACAAAAAGAAATTGCAAAATTTGTTCCATGATTTGATGCGCTGAAAAGTAGAAGGCAGCTGCCGACCTGTCTTTTTCATATTAATGGGGAGATAATAGCGACTGGGTCGAAAAAGCATTATTATTATATAGCCTTGGATAGCCAAAGAAACAAGATATATATATTTTTATTTTACCTCGAGCAGAGCGTTCATCAACTAAGAGATATAAATTCACCAAGTTTATGAGTTACATATAATCTAACCAGTCTCAACGCTCAATCCCTAAATTTTTAAGAATTGTGACATAGTAATAGCAGAACCCAAAACGATGATGCAATCTTTGGGAAGTCAGCCATGCACGGCGACGAAAAGCTTATCGACACAGCGAGCATCCCACTGGCAATTTCATTGATTCGTACGTGATTTAGGAGGGACAACCACAACCCTGAAAAAATGTATTGCGTTTTTCATGTTGAAATTTTTGGCCTGCTGCTAGATTATTGATATCAAACGGGTTAGTTTAATTTTCCGATTGGTTTTGGCCGAGTATATCAGATTCAGAACCAGACATTCCCAAGTTTACATTCGGACATCAATAAGATACTGTTTGAAAATATTATGTACTCACAGTATGCCTCAATAGACAACTACGAGAGTAATTATGAAGAGATAGGAAGCACGCGTGAAGAAATAACAAAGACACTTGAGTTGAATAGGGCTTATCAGGCGGAGTTGGGAAAGTGCATTCAGAACCTTGAAGCTGCACTGAACCATAACCGAACGACACAGGTTAGTCGCGTTTGAGTTGTATAGCCAAGGCATTAAACTCACGTCAAGCTTGCTATAGGAACGCTTGGATTTAATAAAACAGGCTCAAGAGAGATCGGATAAAGAAAGGGCTGAGGCAAGATCTGATAGTACGAGATGCTGGGGTCCACCCTTCTTTGTGAATGAACATGGACAGGTCAGTAAGCGACGGGCTGTCTTGTTAGCTGAATTTATTGAGGAATAGACTCGCTTAAAGACGGTTATTTTATTAGGGACTGCCTGAGCTTGAAGACAACTGTAGTACTGTTCGTCCAGTTTTACATAAATATCAACGATGTAAGTGAAACAGAAAGGTGCTTTGTGTATACGACCGTAAGAGGTTGTTCATTGAAATATTAATACTTCGGTTTAACCTCACCCATAATAACAACGATGTTGTAGGGACTAACAATGAGCGGGCTGCGTTAGCAAAGGGTATTAAGTTTATCAATATGAAAAAAGAGGCGTCCAAGATTCTTGCTCAGTAAGTCATGTAATACTGAAAAGATCTTGTTTACGTGCGTATAATATATTAAATATTCTGCACTTCTTTTTTTTTTTTTTGGTAGGGGCGGCAAGATGAAAGACTTGCAAAGACTATCCAATGCATATCTGCTAGAAAACGTCCGTGGGGTTGATTGGCGTTTCATAGCTAAGCATTTTGTAAATTATCTTCCGTTTCTTGATTAGCGTGTTTCATCCTTCTATTTCTGTCTCATCTCATAATCCAAACATCTATCTTAAACCTCACCTCAGGTACAAACTAAGACCGCCTCGGAATGTCTGATGCAATGGACCAATCATGACCATCCACGGATAAACAAAAGTTCCTGGACAAAGCCGGAAATAGCAAAATTACGTGCTATTGCCCAAAGGCACAAGTTTCGTAATTGGCAGGCAATTGCACTCGAAGTGGCGGTAAGCAAAATATCGAGACGTAATCTATTAATTGTCATTTAAAAGATTATGTCGCGTTTCAATTTGTTAGAGTGAATTAATTTCGTCAGTATGCTGATTGCCGTGTTTTCTAAACCGATTTTATCTTTACATATATATTTATATATTTGTTTTATATGGCAGACTAACAGAACGGCTGCAGAGTGCTTTAAAACTTATGTTAGACAGAACAGCGAACCAAGGTAATCGTTTATTTGATTAATGATTCACATTTTATTCAAATATAACGAGTTAAAATTTTTATTATATAATCTAAGGAAATGGACGAAAGAAGAAGATGAGATACTAATACAAGCTGTCGATTTATACGGAGAGAAAAACTGGCAGCAAGGTAAATAGTCTTGACGAGAAACCCGTGATAATTCAATCCTAGTATAACTTCATTTTATTTGTAGAAGCATTCTAATATTTGATAATTATGTTATCAAGTTGCTTCCTGTCTTGAAGACAGAAGTGGCCAACAGTGTCTACACAGATGGACGAAGACGCTAAATCCAGCAATAAAACGTGGCCGGTGGACGCGTGCTGAGGATGAGGTTTAAACCTGACGGCTTGTGTTCATGTTCAATGTTGAACTACTAACTGATCTCTATAATCTGCGTATGCAATGCGGGCATTATTTTGGCTTTTAGGCCTTGAAAGATGCCGTTAAGCTGTACGGTGCAGGCAATTGGGTTAAGATACAGTCTTACGTACTCGGCCGAACTGATGTAAAATGTCGAGAACGATGGGTTAATGTTCTCGACCCAGCCGTTAAAAAGGATCCCTGGACAGCAGAGGTAAACCTTACATTATCTTAACAATTGACCATAACTTTCTTTCAGTTATTGATTGCTGTAACATTTTATGTTCGTTCCTAACTATTCGTGATACAGGAAGACAAACAATTGCTCTCACTGGTCCGAAAGCATAATCCTGGTAATTGGTCAAAAATTTCTGCAGAAATGGATCGACGTACTGATAATCAGGTATTTGCAATTGTTTATGGTTAGCATCTTGTGAAGAGACAAGATTTTAAATTTTTTACAACTGTACAGTGTTGGAGAAGATATAAATGTCTCTTGAAAAAGACGAAGCAGGGAGAAATTATTTCCTTAACTTCTGAGTCTGAGGATGAAAATCGAAACACAATTCCTGATATTAATACGAATAACAGTCCTAGTGTGGATACAACGGCTACAGCTAAGGACGTAGTGATACCAAATATCGCAAGTCGATACCCAAAAATAGCTCCCGCCCCTATCCCGAGGACTGCAGAATATAAAATACCAGTTACATCTATAGAAAAAAAATAAAATGCACACAGGACAGAAGTGACAGCAACCAGCTACCATTAATATTACCTTTAAAATTCAGTCATAGGATGGGACTTGCACGGGAGGTCAAATATTAAATTTATAGAAGACAGAGACTGGTCTTTTACGTGTGTAGAAGTGCTTTCTGACGGAGAAATATTGCGATTATTGATGACTGTCTTTTTTTTGATGCTAGGATCTGCTGGCAAATATCAAGACTATATGACTGTCATTATCATTAAATAATGTCGGGCTGATAGTATTACAGAATGCTTCAGTATGGACATCAAAGCCCAGGTCTTCAGAGTATGTGATTGCCAGATACATATATGGCTTCTTTTTTTATTTGTAAAAATGAGAAGGAAAGAAGAAGTCCAGTGGGAACTCACAAAAGCCATATTAATATAAACAGTCACAAAAGTTGCTACAATTAACCGGTAGAAAGTAGCTTAACGATAATAGGTAACTGTATGTATGATATAATTACTGCAGCATTATACAAAAGATAGACGAGGATGCACTTTCTGCTTTTCATATGTATAATCAATTATAATCAACCATTGAAATAAACACATTCTGGCGCGATCTCTCACGTATTCAGTTCTTTCGACGCCATCCTTGATAAATCATCAATAGCGTTGATAACGTCCCAATTAATTTCTCCGCAGTCTTTATAGCTCACTTCCAACACTGCTCTAGCACTTGCTGACAATTTTACCGCCTCCTCTACAGCCGTTCTTCCATCACTCGTACTGTTCCAAAAACACTTGGCCATTGTATACATATGCAACCCAATCATAGGATGATATCTAGGGTAGCATAGCACGTATATGGCTAGTATACGGTATCCAATTCCAGCCGCAATGTCCCACTGTTCGTTTCTAAGCAGATCAGACAGGTGTTGACTTAGTAAGGCAAGCGGAGTATGTGGTTGAGAGAGTAACGATTGGAGCAGAGTTGGTGGGATGGAGATAGGAATGATAAACAAAGAAGGAAGTAGAGGAGAGAGAAGCGTTCTTTGACGAGTAGAGAGTTCTAGCAGAAGCGCGGTAGGCATAGTCGATGATGCTGGCGCCAGCAGGTGATCTACATCTTTAATGTTGCCGTTACATCTAATACACTTGCAGTCAAAGTAGTATTTAGCAGTGAGTAACTGTTGCCTTGTACTTTTTGTATTTGCAGTGTCAATATATGATATCATAACCTCGTCGTTACTGCTGAGATCTTCAATCGCTTTTACGATTTGAACGTTTCCATGGTACATGACAACTGCATTTGGATAGCAAGAATGATTGAATAAAGATCCGACTGGATAAGTTCCTTCTCCAACAGAAAATATCTGATTATCATGCACTGTAAAATTATTGCACCCAAATATGCAGAGATAATTTACAAGATCATCAGTTGTCAAATTGCTCTTATTGAAGTTCTTAATCGATGATAGATCATTGAGAACTACTGTAGCAACTTGATTAAAGTATTCAAGTATGTCCTGGCTATAGTCACTCTTGTGATCCATGAGTCCACTGAACGTTTCATATAAGACATCATAATCCGTCAGGTACTCTTTTTTGGCTATTCCACCAATGACTAGACAGACTCTCCGCAACATTTCGTAATCCCCATTTGTGTTATCTGTAATCACCATTCCATCGCACAACCATTTGTGATGTAAATTCCACGCTTTTCTCTGACATTGAACACTACAATAAAACGCCGATTTACATCGAGAGCATCGCATCAAGCTGTGAGAAGAGGATGAAGAAGAGGTAGCGCAAGGTGTTAATCGAGAAACTTGTGAATTGAAACAATGATTACAAATAGAATCAGCAACGGAAGACGTCGGAAATGAACACAGAGGAGGAGACTTTATTATTACACTTCCTTTAGGTACCGGAGAACGAGTTACAATAGCTCGATAAGACGATTGTTTGGGTACCAATGCGAGGTTATGCGCCGCGAGATAACTGTCAAGTGCCATTGCCTTCCGGGAATACTAATGCACTGGATACTAATAGTAATAGTCCGACAGGATGTCACACAACTGGACATTTGGGGTAACAGTAGTAGTTGATCAACTTATCGCACGCGTACCTATCCACATCAAATGTCGAACTAATCACAGACATCGCTACATTGCAAGAAATAATAATAGAATTCTTATGAGTAACTCGAGCTGTTTAACTTCTTATAACAAATTAGAGGAGTCCAATTTTTCAACAAGTGTAATTACTGAATCCAAAAATTGTTGCTAGTCACATAGTATATTGGATAGTAAAAATTTTCAAAATTAGATTTTGCATATTTTTGCTATATAAATAATTATTTGGTAAGATTTGAACAAGAATAATGAAGCTATCTAAAGAGCCTCGCTACTTTGAATAAGATATAACAGAGAGCAAGATTTAACCTGAAAATGGGACACATTTTAAATTGATTTTGTCCACGAGATCAATATCTTCAATGAAGAACATTGCCATCGCTCTCCCCTGCCTTCTCACTAATTCTATTCTCTTTATTTTCTTCCTCTCTGTCGTCACTATTCTCACTTTCTGGATCGTCATTAATTTCCTTCAATATGTCTCTAACTTCTTCACTTTCATATACAACACTCTTGGCATTTTTTATAAATTCTACAATTTTAATGACGTCTTTCTCTCCATCAGTCTCAACACCGCTACTAGTATCAACAATCCATGGCTTAACTGTCGTCGCTGCATCAATCACATTATCTGGAGTCAGTCCACCTGCTAGAATAACCGGCACTCCTGCATCATGCACTTTTTTAGCGAAACTCCAATCGAACGTCTTCCCACTTCCACCAGAATACTCGGAGCCGTGCACCTTGGTATCTAATAACACATAAGCGTTGTAACCGGGTTGAGTGACAAGGGTGATATTTTTGAATGATTGATCTATATGAAATGCTTTGATCGCCGGAACCGGCAGGTACCGAGCAAGGTCAAGTGGCTCATCTCCATGCAGTTGAATAAGATCTAATTTTACATGGTCCGTAATAGTGATGATTTCATCGAGCGATTGGTTTTGAAATACGCCAACAATTAATGGTTTCCGCGCTCTGTTAATCCTTTGTGCGTGAATATGAAACCAGGCATCTTCTCCTGGTAGAATCGTTCGCGATTTCTCTTCAGGTTCAACTTTAACTGAATCGAATAATTTTTCCGATTGCAGTTCTCGAATCACATTGACAATCTCTAATGCACGGTCAACTGTTACTTGCCGCTTAGACTTGGCAAAGATTAGTCCGATTATATCAGCACCCGCGTCCGTCGCTTCGATAGCGGCTTCGACTGTATTTATGCCACATATCTTCACTAGTGGACTCTTGGGCCAAGTACTAGTTTTTTGTAGTTCTTGTTGTTCGGGTTGGTCGTCTTTTTGAGCGTCGTGTGTTGGAGGAGCAATACCTAGAATCTGTTCGACAAACAATCGTTTGTCTTTCGCTTTCATCAATGCTTCCCCAATTAAGAATGCACCCACACCGTGGTCGAGGTAGGGTAATACATCATCGCGTGTGGATATACCGCTTAGTGCAGCTAAAATGACATCCTTGGGAGCCAACTCAGCCAATCGAGACGTAGTTCCCACGTCAACTTCAAAATTATGTAGGTTACGGTTATTGACGCCAATTACTTTAGCACCCAAAGCAAGTGCTCTCTTCATTTCTATTTCGTCATGGACTTCGACCAACGGTTCCATTCCTAAATCCTTTGCAAAATCGTATAACTCGACCAGTTGCTCATCCGATAACATTGAGACTATCAAAAGAATGGTGTCAGCTCCATGTAATCTAGCCTCCATGATCTGGTAAGTATCTACAATGAAGTCTTTTCTTAATATTGCTGGTCTGTTTGGAATGGATGATAGAATATCTCTCACTTGGCGCATGTCATTTAAACTACCCTTGAACCACCTTCCTTCGGTTAACACTGAAATAACAGATGCACCTGCGCGGGTATATTCTAATGCTTGCTGAGCAGCATTCACCGATAGATTGATGTTTCCTTTGCTAGGCGATGCTCTTTTAACTTCGGCCATAATAGCAGGGTATTCGGGAAGAGTTTGTTTGATTCTAGCCGAAAAGTCGATTAATGGAGGCGCGACGTGTAACGCAAGTAGCTTTTTGAGATCAGTTGTGCTAGTTCCAGGTTCCTTCTTTGCCGCGGCGACGTCAAGTAGTCGCTGTTTGTATATTTTATCTAGAATGCTGGGCACTGCTTTAGTGATTAGGGTTGTGCTTGCTAGAGGGGTACCAATACGATAAGCAGGATTATCTTCCCATCTTCCTCCTTCTAGTCTCAAAAAATTTTCTAGAATAGTTTTCCCATGCTCACTGAGTATACTCTCTGGATGGAATTGCACGCCTTCGATAGTTAACTCTCGATGTCTTAAACCCATTACGATTCCATTTTCGGTCCAAGATGTTACTTCCAATACATCTGGTATGGAAGGTGGTTCGGCTGACAGGGAATGATATCTGGTAGCAGATATTTCGGGGGGAACATTTATGAATACACCTTTGCCGTCGTGTATGATTGTACTTGTCTTTCCATGTGTTATATCTCCAATGCCTGAGACTGATCCTCCATAGACGTGTGCTATGCATTGCTCACCTAAGCATACTCCCAAGATCGGTATTTTGCCCGCATAGTAAGAAATGACGTCTAGAGATATGCCCGAATCATTAGCTGGATGACCTGGTCCAGGTGAGATAATGATGTTGCGAGGGGAAAGCGCATCGAGGTCAGAGAGAGTGACTTGGTCATTACGAAATACTACCACATTTGCACCTAGCTCACTGACATATTGGTATAGATTCCAGGTGAATGAGTCGTAGTTGTCTATCAAGATTGTTGTCATTTAGAATTACTTGATATTAAAGTTGAAGTATTTATTTTGGTACATTAAATATTGATGTTTCACGTGTCTTGCGACGAACAATTGATGTATGACAATTATACAGAGTAATGAACAAACAGATAATCACGTACTTAATAATAATCAATGTGGGTTTTACCGAGTTTACAAGAACAATTAATTATCAATTCTACCGCGTCAAGAAGCTGAGGGAAAGAGGATGCCAGAATCGTAAAGACTCTGACTAAATAATACGTGGGTTGCGTTTGACTCAGGAATATCGTGAGGACTAAATGCACTGCTTCGACCGTCGAGGCGAACAATCGCGATTGCTAGGGATAGTTTTACAGGCATGTCTTTATACAAAACGTCATGCAACGGAAACGAAACAATCATTCTATTTAAAAATTGACTCTACACACGTAAATAAATCATGTCCAATTTTAAGAACCAGTTATGAACCTTTTTGTTATAAAAACACATCTTAAACCCTTTGTCATTTACATTCCTCTAAAAAATAAAACTAGGGATTTTCGGTAATCACTGTTAATGAATCATCGTTGTCAAATGATAATTGTAATAATAGTGGAAGAATTAATTATAGTAAAACCTCTAATACTAATACTAATGCTAATAGATTTATTTCCCTAAGTGCAACTTACGTGATTCACGTAATGATCAACATAATTCGCGCACAACATTATTTGTTATAGATCGAGTTTTATGTGTGAAGAATATTTTCTTTTTTCAGTGTTTGATTTTTATCCTGTTTTCTTTGTTTAGTGGAGAACACGACGAAGAGACTTATGATGATAGTAATGAAAACCCGATAGTGAGTGCTAATGAAGCGTTGAAAACATAAAGACGTTTCTAATTCAACAAGAGGGAACCAGTAATTATTTAAAAGCCGTTAATAGAGTCATTCGCGAAAAACAGGTAAATTTAATGAAACAAAGTAGTATTACATAAACAATTAGGGTATTGATAGCAAAATTTTTTATGTAACTTTGGCTGGAAATTGGAATAAAGGGAAATATGTTTAATAGACGTAAATCGTTAAAATATCTTTCCTAATAAGGGAACCCTCCATACTGTATTATATATTTGTTCACGCATGGATATCACTCATTATTTTATCGATCCTATATATCGTATCGCCTACACTAAAACCTATCATTACTAATAAAACTTCCACATTAATATTCAGCAAAGTCTAAATTAGGAATAACAAGTCCTGTCAGGAATAGGCTCCCGCGTCAGCCTAAGCTGACTCCTTTTTTGTAAGATATCGAAGAAGAATATTGCGAGCACCATTAATATCTCTATCAAGGTTTGTTTTACATTGGGGACAGCAAAGACACCTTAGATCCACCAAGCTGTTTATATGACCGCAGGATCCACAAGTTTTACTTGTGTATTCTTCTGTACAAATTACTACTCGACACCAGGGATGCTCACGTGCCCTATGGATCAAATGCTGTTGAAGGCGATAATGTGACCATGTACACATGGCTCAAGCAGTCTTGGAACCAATGCGTCGTTGTCCACGTCGGCCCATTCCTTGAGTGCGAAATTCGGGTAGTAATATCATGCGATAGTTTTCACAAAGCCATTTAGCTAGTTTAGTATATGGGGCATACTGCAACAAAACCAGACAAAGTGAACATTTTATTATGCGGCATAAATGAGATGCTGATATGGCTAAAGGTTGATTAATTTGACTGATAGCATTTTGATTATCACAGCTGTAAGATTCATTATTATTATCATGTTTTAAATTAATATCATGCCAGAATGCGACTAACATTAAATTTGGCCAGGATTAATGTAAAGTCAATAATAATAACTTGTTTAATATTAATATAGGATTATGTGTATACAAAAATATAATATAAAACTAATTTACATCAAATCCACCATGGAAACAAAGAATTACAGCACAATTAGAAGCATTCTAAAGAAAGCTCAAGGAGAAAAAGTTGCTCCATACGTTTTTAAAATGAAGGACACCAAAATCCTTGAGGAATATCTAGATAAAGAAAAAATCACTTATAAAATTTATCAAGAGGAACGAAAAATAACAACTCATGATGAACCAAGAAAAAAGCGAAAACTAGAAGCATAAACAAATAGCTGCTCTTTATTATCGTTGCATTACCATCAATAATTGCGACAATTTTCCATGATTCTCTATATACTGCTCGAGTTAGAATGACAATAAATATGATAATTTTGGTTCGTTGCGCTACACTCTGACACAATTCATGACCAGCAAACCATTAAATAATGAAAATTAATAAACTTTAGGAAACGATGCACAAAAACCGTTTGATCGGCAAATCAGTTGTTTCAAAAACCAAATTTACAATCGATTAAATTACAAATATTAAACAATCACTATTACTATCAAACGCATTTTGAGCTGGACTCAGCTTTCTCATTTAACAAAATGGCAACTGAAATCTACACGTTACGTGAAGGAAAAGGCATTGCTGCCTCAACCCTAAGAAACTTTTATCTGCGAAAAATCAATCCACGAAAAATAACTGTCGAAGCAGTACAGGAATGGGTTGATAAAGAAAAGGAGAAGGGAGAAGAAGACGTTGTAGCTTTAATAATACTGTGTAGCATAGTTTCACTAGCGCGACCAAAGTATAGGGATACTCATCAAATGGCTTTGGGTCCGAGTATTTCCTCCCATGCAATCGCTTTAGTGAATCTTTAATTTCAGAATAATAGTCCATATTAATATTGATGAAAATAAAAATGATAAATGTATCTGAATTACGTTACCTTTTAGTGGTTTCTGCATTTCATATTAATATTCAACCTCTTGGAGGAAAAAACCTGTAATTGCATTATCAAAACCAGCCCCAAGCCTCAGAGTATGAAATCCCTAGATGCACATAATCATAATGTTCTAAGATCCAAGCAATGCGTTCTAAGTGTAAAATTTGTAAATTTCGTCGTATTAGCATTGTGCATTTAAGAACAGCCATGGGAATCGAATAAATACTATTACTATTACCTCTTTCGATAAAAATTGACTAGGCTTATGTCATCATTTTGCATAAGGAGTTTAATAGCAATTGCGTAATCAACACGTTAGCACTAATGTCAGTGGCATTGTCTACCTCGTTCTTTCAGCGCAATTACCCTTTTTGCAGATGATTTGCGTTGTAAACTTGCTACCCAATTTTTTTTTCGGCACTATTTTGTATCCCACAAAAATGACCAAGCGTAACTATAGGCGAAACAAACCAGTTGCTTCCTCAAGCCGTCAAACGCCGACTACGGAACTTGTCTCTCTCTTCTGTCTCGTTGACGGCGAGTCTACAGAAAACGCGTTTGCAGTCAGAATAGATAAGAATAAATTTGTTAGTGACCTTCGCGAGAAAATATGGGAGAACCAACAAACTTTCAAGAACGTGGATGCAGCAGAACTCATTCTCTGGGCCGTCTCCATACCACAATGGGAAATGGCTCACCACAACTGAATTCAATTCAGGAGACAAAAAAAAGCTGCTTCCTGGAGAGGAGATGCAAGAAGCATTTCCTGAACCTCTGCCAAAAAAATACGTCCATGTTATTGTGAAACCGCCTACCATGTATGTAATCTTGACTGTACTTTCCATCCGTGCTTTTTGCTTACCTGCATCTGATTATCTATTTCTTCTTTTCAGTATCACTCCCTTTGAGGACCTCTCTCGATTTTTCTAGAGATGGATTGGTTCTCTAAGAACCGGTTCTTAAAATTTTAAACCAATGAAAAAAATTTTAGTAAGTATACTGTACTTATAGATAATGGGCATTGTGTCCATCTCCTTACTTCAGTCTTATGTTTAGTAGGATAAGCTATAGAGATGAAGACAACTTCGCGTTCGCACTTCACTGTCATGAACTTTTGCATTTCGGTGCTAGAAGGATCTTGGAGGTATACATATTAATATTTTTTATTATTATACCATAATTTAAAGACAAAGCTATAGCTTTATAATGATGATATGTATAATTTACCGTTAACTTTTTTCGAAAAGCACGATTAATTAGCATTGTCATTCACATAGTACATATGAGCAGGAGAGATTTTTGAGAGAAAAAAAAAAAAAAAAAAAAAAAAAAAAAAAAGACTTTTCATATGTTTTACTAGTGTTACGGTCGGGAATTAAATTGGGGGGGTTTTGGGAGAGCGATTTATCTTTTCGTGTAGGTGTGTTCGCCGACCGGGGGATGTTACCAGGCTTAGCTCG